TGATACAGGCGGCTAATGGATACAGGAGGCCAATACAAAGTCCCCTTGCCCCACCGAATCTGCTTGGAGATTAGATCGGATCGTCACCGTCTGCCGGTAGAGTAGCACGTCGGCAGAACGTACTGCACCTGCGCGAAACCCGTAATGTATTGTACATAGCATTTCGGGATAATGTCTCATATAAGGTTGTATTCGCTTATATAAGGTTAGCATTTCGACAGTAGTTTCCAAATGTTGTGTCTGAAAGAATATCCTCTGCAACAGGCAAAATTCTGATGCAACGTTGACCAAAAACCCAACGAAAAACGCGAAAATACGGGGTTCTGCGCAGGCGCAGTACGTTCTGCCGACGTGCTCGGTAGAGTCCATCCACGACGATGTCACGTGCTACGGTCGCCTCCTCATGGCGGAGCTCTCTGATGGTCACACTGTTCACGTCATTTTCCATGTCGGCGGATTTTGCCGGGTCAAATGCTGCTGAAATTTCAAGGCTGTCCGAGCCAAGATCTACTTTCTGTGGGAACGGGAAAACATATTATGCTAGCATGCTAGAAGCTGAAATCGTGATGACATGCGTTTGCCATGTCAGGCTTTCAAGGATAAACAGTCTTTTAAAGAAAACATGTACATTATGTATAATAGCATATCAATAGCACTCACTGATTTATCTATCTACGTAGGTCACAGTTTGAGTATCAAACGTTAATGGCCGTTAATGTTTCATGGATTGTGGACTCCTACTAGTGGAGAACTTTTGATCCTACCACATGCTCAAGAAACGTGACAGCCACAGCAATTCGTACTGAATCGGGTTACTAAACACGCCCTTATCATAGATCATCATACAGGATTGTTGCGTTTACTGCAATTTGTGAGAGGAACTACTCAGGGTGAATTATAAAGTCTTGGGGTCCATCGCGGCAGTGTAAATCCGTATCATATAACGTTATGAACAAACGGATGACGTAGAAGAACCTCGAGCTAAGTATTGTAAGCAATACTTTACCAAAAGAGTGTCGTCCCGTAAGTTGCCTACGTGGCCATTTTGGAGTCATTGTCTAAGTGTCCGTATGGTCATTGACCCGGCTTGGAAGAGTTCATTATTAGATGGGTGTATAACGCTAAAGGGAGATACCCGTGGTATACTTAGTACTATAGTTAGGCATACCTCGATATATCGGCATTGATATATTATATTGATATATCAGCATTTGTATATCTGTGGTTTGTTTGTATGTATGTGTGTGTGAATGTGTGTGTGTGTGTACGTGTGTGTGCTAATATCTATGTGTTTTTCGTGTGTGAGTGTGCGCGCGCGTTTGTGTTGTTATAGAATAGAGGAAAATGTATTGACTATTCACTACTTTGTGCCTTGGCCTAAGGAAAAGTAAGTGATGATTTTGAACAAAATTTTCATATCACTAATAAGTCCAGTGAAATAACCGTGTTACAAGCCCAGTCTGACATCATGAGACTCTGACAGGGAATGACACATCTCATTTATTAATATTGTAGAAAATGATTAAAGTTTCAAAGAACTGTGTATTTTGTTCAGACAGTTCAACATGCTTTGTACAAAAATCGCTTTATCTGTTGGTTTACAAGCTATGCTTCACTACTTTCCAAGCAGAGGTTGTGGCCATGATCGTTAGCTTTTTATATATGGCCGTTTTTTTGTCGCTACCCCACCAACGGTGGCCGGCCGGCGACCTTCTCTGGCTAATGGATACTGTCTTGCCACCGAAAGGGACCTGCTTGGATATCACAGCATTGCAATCCTAGCCTGTGTAGATCATTCTTAATAAACAAAGTAAAATAAATCGTACTACAGAAATGACCATTTACAACCGAGAAAAAAAACATGAAAATGTACACACTTGAATTGCCTGGCCCTTTGTGCCTATGTGGCCTCACAAAGAGCTTATGGCAGCAGCAAGCATAATATGCTATTGTCGGGAAACCAACACCACAGAATAGAAACAGAAACACATAAAATTCTTTTTTCATCAAAATGACAATTATGTTCAATAGAATTTGTACTTATAACTATCAACATATCACAATATGGAATGACGCAGGATTCACAATCTATTGTACCAGTCACGCAGAAATATTTACCATCAGGCTACAACTCCCACTTCAGCTCAGTGCAAAACATAACTTCACTCTAAAAAAAACGTATTGTCACAAGCTCAGCACCAGATTCTTGACCGCAGGCTGTTGAGAATGTTAGTCAAAGTTGAAAAAGTAGCCTCAAAAACATGATCATTGACGGGCCTACTGGCCATGTTGTCAAGTGTCGGACGGTAGATACTAGCAACTCCGATACAGATGATGGTAACGCCGCTGTTCCGTATTGCTTCAGACTGGGGAATAACACTAGTGGCTGTACTGTCTCTACCATCTGTTAATATGATCCCTATCTTCCTCGCCCCCACCCGCCCAAGCCGAGAAAACTGATCATTGAGAGCTCCCATAGCGGCAACAGGGGCCCAGGCCGGTACGTATGTGAGGCCGCCTGACGAAATACTGTTGATTGCAGAGATTAAGGCAGGCTTACTGTATCCGTTATTCAGGGGTATGGTAACATCCGTTCTTCCACCGATAAACTTCACAAAGGCAATCCTGGCCTGGTTTGCCCCAGAGCCAATGGAGCCGATACTGTTAATCTCTAGCTCTATAAACCAGGAAACTGTGCTCAGGTGAGGTGACAAACTGCCAGAAACATCCACGGCAAAGATGATATCAGCGGCACTGTTGCACCCTGAACACAAAGGAAAATACGTTATATCGTTATTCAAGTCGGTCATGTGTTTATGTACCAAATTGAATAGTGACTATTTTGATAGTTCAGACAAAGAATTCTTTCCTCATGAAATAAAAAGTGCTACAAGCTTTCCCTAAGAAATCATTTTTCACCTTTAGGATAAACATATATATATATGTACTATCTTACATAGGTAGCGAAGTTTATTCTTGCACTACAATGATAAGCAATTTCAAATCAACAGTATAATTAGTTTATTTGACTGCATTTGCGAGGAAGAAGCACACCGCCCACAAGCAATGTACAAGGTAAATTACTCCAACCATAACAATGCCACAAAAACGTTCGCAGGAGGTTTACCTAGACATGTAGCCGTGCTACCACTCCACGTTCCCGGGAAGGTACACACGCGCTCGGACGTTCCCGCCAGGAGGTACCCGTTGTTGCAGGTCAGGACGCAACTTGAATCTTCGTCAAGTCCATCTGAGCAGGTAACTGTGCCATGCGGTAGAGATAGGGCAGTGCAGACTGCTCTTGCTGAAGAAAGGAATTATGCGACAAAATGGTATAAAAATTTAGTATAAAGTTTTCAAGTCAAAACGCATGTCTTCTCCATCATTACTCATCAAAAACCTATTGTTTCTAATGCTTCCAAGGTTTTTCCCAACACAATCAATAAAACGTTCCAATTCCCAAAAGACAGAATCTGGTGTATTTTTGAACATCGACTACCTTCTCCTTCCCCTCAAGCCTCCGTTACAAATAATTTTCTTCTGATAAAGAACAGTTCTGACCCGTTTGACCTACCTCGGCAGACAGGTGCAGGTGAACTCCACGTTCCACTACTGTAACAGTATAACGCTGGGTCTCCATCCAGTTTGAGCCCACTGTTGCAGGTGACGGTACATTGCGATCCCGGGAGGTTGGAGTTTGTGCATGTAATCACTCCATTCGGCACTGCCAGCGTCGGGCAACCCACTGAAAAATAATTCTGCATCCTACCAAGTATGTTGATGACGATGAGACATCAAGGTAATAAGATACCAAAATAATGGTTACTCAAGCAACTGCATAGATTTTGAACACACGCACACGCACACACACACACACACACACACACACACACACACACACACACACACACACACACACACACACACACACACACACAGACGCGCCATTACTATGGCAAAGTTTATGCAAATTACTGGTATCAATATGTTCTCCATTGTTCATTGACAGACATCAATGGATGTGCCAGTAATCCATGCCGCAATGGTGGAACCTGCTCGGATGGAGTCAACATATACACGTGTGTGTGCAGGCCTGGGTTCACAGGGACACAATGTGAAACAAGTAAGTGGAAAGGTTTTTTTAATAGTCGAAATTCAGTCCTTCTATCCTGTTGTTTCCTGTACATGAAAGGTCTTGAAAATGGGTTTAATGCTAGGGTGACGAATGCTAGGGTGACGAAATTTGAATGGTAGGTAGGTCTTGTGCTTGGGAAGAAGTGACATGAGTTTAGGCGTCCTAGCATCTTGCTCTGGAACTGCAGGGGCGTTAGTTGAAAACTGTTTAAAGGCAGTTAACTCAAGAGCCGATTGATGGATCGTCGTGATTTTTGGCATGTGGGTAGCTGAAATAATGCTTTACATAATAATATCACAATTATACAAATATCAATGTAATTTGCATAATTAATGAGAAAATGTTATAATTACACAGTGGTAACTGCCTGGAATTTCATACTTGGGATATTTGAAAGTTATGTGAAGGTAAACATAATTAAACATAACTTATTAAGAAAAAGGACCTCATTTGCATAATTGATGAGGAAATGCTATAATGGCATTCTTTGATAAGATAAGACTGGCTTCTGGTGTAGAATATGATCAGATATAATTGATGCAATATAGGGGACCCCAGAAAGTGCGAAATGGAACGAAATGGAACGAAATGGAACGAAACGGAACGAAATATGTATGAAGGAAAGCCGTTAAGCCATTTGTGCGTTGGAACGGCGACGTTAGTGTCCGCTCGACGTCCAAACGACAACGTTAAGATTGATGGTATTCTTAGAACCGCAACGTTATAAGATCGATCAGGGTACGTTAAGAATAAAGTGCCCGCAACGTTATAAGATGGATCAGGGTACGTTAAGAATTAAGTTATAAAAACAATTAATTGAGTTTTGAGGTGAGCAGTCAAAGTGTTCTTTTTGTGGTCTCTGTCTACCCTAGCGGTATGCCCATGGGGAGGAATTTTATCACCAGCCGCGTCCCTTACATGTGCACAATGAAATGAAATAGATAGCAACAAATAAGAAACGGAACTGTTTAAAACTTTGAATACAGAAGTGAGTGGTGAATAAATAATATGATGTGTTTTATTTCTTGAACCTATTCATTGCTGTGTTTGTGTGGCTAATTTCTTCCTGAAAATGTGGGCACGGCGTGCAAAAACTGCGTTAGATGATATGCGGGGTGATTAGCACGAAATCATGAAAGGGAAACGGAACTGAGTATGGAAGTAAGGACGGTAAAATTTCATTTTCAGAATTCACCAAAAGTGCATGAGGCAAGCGTTATTATACAGCGTTGTTTTTTTGTTTTTACTTTTTGCTGTGTTGGCTGGGGTGGAGCTAAATTCTTTCCCCCGCATGTGAATGATCCGCCATTGTTACCGACGGTTGGCAAAAATTATTTACCGGGACTTTTCACCGTGGTTCAAAACGTCCTGAAAGTCCCCACTCATAGCTCATTGATATTGATGAAAATAAGATGTCAATCACACTTGTCACCATTGACAACTGTCCTTGATTGGTTGACACTTTTGTGGGCCGGCTCTAGGAATGTTTACCTTGCTGCATGCCCCCCTGCAAATTTTTCCCGCCAACTGTTCTATTCATGTGCGCAATTCTCCTGATCCGCAATTGTTTTAATTTCACACATTCTAACAATACATAACGTGGGTACAAGGTATTATCATTTTCTGGCCTGGTGCAAACACAGACCATCGATCCTAACTCTTTGTGTAATTCAGTTGCGATCAAAACGTAAAAATACTCATTTAGCGGCGGCCAAGAGGTTGCCCTTGACCCGGCAAGAATTCGAAGAACGCCGATAAGCCAAAATCCTTGATGAGACTACATAATACTAAAAACGCCCTTTTCTACAAAATATAAAATAAACCCTGATTCGTACTGTAAAAATGATCTTGTTTGAAAATATAACAATTGATACAAAGTAATAAACGTTACATTACGAGTGTTATTTTGTAACAAATGCCGACACCGATCTTTCTGCTCTGCGTTGTTGTTTTGATTTGGTCAGCGCCATCTTGGTTTCCGTATTATTGTAAATTAGCGCATGAACCGCCAGTGTTTCTTGAACGCAACAAGTTTAGATCTTTTAATTTTAGACATCCCCGCGAGTTGACACTTATTCTGTAGTTGTCTTTTTATTTCCTCTGGACATTGTTTCCGAGATCGGCAACACTTCTTGCGGGCAGGCAGAAAATCGACAACAAGGACGAAACATTTCGGCTAAAATAATGCCGCAACAAGTTACTACACAAAGGAAAAACTCTTTGACTACTCAACTCAAAACTCACTTTATTATTAACGTACCCTGACCTTACAACGTTGCGGTTCTAAAAATACTATCAATCTTAACGTTGACGTTTGGACGTCGAGCGGACACTAACGTCGCCGTTCCAACGTACTTCATACATATTTCGTTTCATTTTGTTTCATTTCGTCCCATTTCGTTCCATTTCGTCCATTTCGTTGCATTTCGCACTTTCTGTACACCGCAATTGGGAATCATATTTGCACAATCATTCAGGGGGATTAATCTATAATTTCTTAAAGGCTAACATTATTTGGCGAAGGTATGAGATCGTTGAACTCTAGTTTTAGATGTGTTTGTGTAATGTTTTGTGTCTGTGCTAGGGGCCATTGAGCCTGAAATAAACAATAAATAAAATAAATAATGGTACGGTCCAAAAAGGGGTCGGTTAAACTAATAACACGTTTGAGGTTACGGTCTGATAACCAATGGCAAATTAATCCTTCTGATTGGTCGACGCCTTCTAGCTATATGATGATATATGATGCTATTCTAATCAAGTAATCCCGCGCGCAGGTGGAGAAACAGAATAGAACAGATTAAGAAGCAGGTGTTATAAACAGGTGAGACAGGTGAGGGTAGTCATGTGCCTTCAGCCCTATAAAACACAAAGTATAGAGAGATACCACGCAGTACGTGAGGAGGCAGGACCGAGAGAGATGGCTCAGCGACCGCAGGCGCCTCGTGTCCTCCAGCCCCGCCCGCCCCCACCGGCACAGCAAGTACCCGTGCAGCCACCGGCCGCCGCTGCACAGCCTCCGGCCGCCGCCGCTTAACCACCGGCCGCCGCAGGGCAGCCTCCGGCCGCCGCAGGACAGCCAGCACCAGGCGTGTTTCAGCCACAACCAGACAATGGGGCGCGAGTTGATCAGAACCAGGTGGACTATCAAAGTTTGCTCTTTTAGTAGTATATCTAATATATGAACGTGGAGAAGCATGCTATGTGAAAGTTAAAGAAGTGTCGCATGGTAGTTGTGGTAGGGAATTGAATCTGCATATGTATATGTATAGGCTCGAAACGGTGGTAATTGATTGGAGTAGAAACAAAAGGCAGGTGAACGGAATGTTATCCGGTAATTCGATTTCCATTAATTCATATGGCTGCTCATTGCAGCCGGGAGGGGCCGGAAATGAGTGCCCCGGTATAAGGATGGAAGGTTCACCGTCAATTAACGTTTATTACTTGTGCGTTATCCTACTTGGAACGCAGGATATGGGCGGAATGGTTTGCCCGGTGTAGAAGGAAGGTGGTCCATGAATTTTAGTTGTATTATTTTACAATTGATGAGGAGAGCGGAATATGGGCGGTATGATTTGCCCGGTAGCTCTGTGAGTGGTGCACCATTGTTTTGTCGGAAGCACATCACGTAGTGCGGAATGTACTCTGATAATGGGTCGCCAGGTGGCGTCTTGATATAACTGGACATAAGTGTATACACGGTGCGAAAGGTATAAAACAATATTATAATAGAATTGCAACAATATGGCGACAAAGGGAAGCCGATACCAAAGTACAAGAACGTGAGCCCTCATCCCCCATTTACTCTTTTGAAGGGCCTTTGAATAACATGGGGAACGAATAACAGGTCTCGATATAGTTCAAAGAGTATTAATATAATCTTATCGTTCTGAAGAAATGAAATAAGATTGTGGGCACGAACAGATCAAATTTCTATGAACTTGCCTAATTATAATCTATTGATACTTGTTGAGGTAAAATACTGTACAACGCACACCACTCTTAAACTCAGCACTATTTCGGGATGCATGCCGGTACTCTGGGCTACCCTGGTCATTCTGAGCCAGTGGACCCCGGGGTACTGGTGGCGTCTCCCTCTGACTTCTGCACTCCTGACTCGTGCTTTGTTAATCTTTTAGCTGGCTTCTTGTGCTGAGAACCAAGACAGCCTGAAACTGAACGAGATCCGATGGGTAGACTTAGAGGGAAGGCCCACCAGTACCACGGGGCCGTTACCGTCAGCGGAGTTTGGAATGGAATATTCACAACATGGAATATATATATATATATATATAAGCGAAGTAATAATATTGATAATCATGCGGGTAAAAAACTGGATATAAAAGAATAGATGGAAGACTACAATTACAGGTATAACGATAATAGTCTTAACTAAGGTAGGGGAGGAGAGGAATAAGGCATTGGGGGAAAGTAAGTTTTGGGAGAGTAATATTGAATAGATAAGGTCTGGGGGAAAAGTGAAGTAAGGTTTGGGGATTATTGGGAGGAGGGAGTAGAGTGGGAGGGGAGAAGAAACGGTGAAGGTCTGTATGAATAGGAACTA